ATGATAAATTTTAACAATTCAATATAATTTAGTTTATTATCTACAATGACATTTCATTTAAACACTATTTCATAATAATAGTAATGAAACACATTTACAATAGTTATTTGTTTCATTAACATTTAGTATAATTATTAAGTTGTTTAAGTATTTATAAAATTGAGAAGTATTTGAATAGATTCCATCAAGAATATTTTTATCTCCTAATAATAATTTTAATATTGTTTATTTCATTTAGTATATAACAAATGAGTGAGTCTTGTATAAAATGGTATATAATGAATATTATAAATTTGAATAATACTAAAAACAAGTTTTACTTTGTGGAGTAAATAAATTAATTGAAATCATTTTTATAAGTAATGAATTCTTGACAAAATATAATGTTCAGATGAACTTATGTATAAAATAAAGAAATATTTAACAGTGCAATAGAATTGAAGTTCAAAAATTTACATATTGGATATAAACAATTGAAATATCAAATCATTTGAAGTAAATTACAATGTAGTAACAATTCAATAATAATCATATCCTTTTAACTAATAGTATAACAAATCACATTTATTATGATACTAGCAATGAGTATAATAATTTAATGAAACATTGATATGTTTCAAAATTGAGGATAATATTTTATTATCAATTATGATTTATCTATTGTTTAAAAGTATTATAATCAAATGTGTATTCCAAATAGTGTAAAGTATTGAGAGTAAGTAAATAAAAGAAAATAAACAATATACTATTTAAACACGAGTTGAAGATATTAAAAAAGAACAAAAGAGAGATATTTAATAAATGACTCTTCAAAGAAATAGAAATAAAACATTATTTCTTTGAATAAGAGAAAGGAGAGAAAGATAAACAAGTAGTCATATACTAAGTGATAAAATAATTAAATATAAATTTTAAATGATAAAACAATAATGATATGTTGATGAGATAAATAAGAATATTGTGAAATAAAAAGTTATTAGTGTAAAAAGAATGAAAAATATAATTAAGAATGATCTTTTTCATTAACCAAGTGATTAAACAAAATAATATATCATTCTTTGAAAGAGTACTCTTAATAATATTTAATTTATTGATATTTATCATCCAAACAAGTTAATAAAAATATAAACATAAAATTCTATTAAGTATATAATTATCAAATACTTTAATTCTTATTAAAACACCTCTTCATCTTAATAAACATTCCTACAAATGGAACACATACAGAATTAAATGAAATGGTGATTAAGAACACATAAATGATTATTCTTCTAAAAAATTCAATGAAAAGATAGTTTTAAAGATCGAGAAAATTTATACCAATTAATTTTTATCAACAAGAAAGGAAACAAACACTCTTTGATTTCTTTTTGTCTTTGTTGTAGAATTTAGTTTATCTTCATAAAGAAGTAACAAGAGCTTGATAATAAAATAATCATTTGTATGGCTGAAGAGTCAATTAAAGCTGATGTTTCAATCACTAATAGTTTTATTTATGTATTGTATCACAAAATGAAGAGTTATTAGAAAAGTTAAGAAGACATTGAAGAACAAAAAGAGATTAAAAAGAAATTCAATCATAGAACATGAGATAAACTATCAAAACAAGAACAACAATTGATCTACAAGTTGAGAAAAGTACTAGATTCATCTTATGAAGATCTAGTCAATATCACAGAATCATAATGAGAAAGTTTGAAATATTCTTTTAACTCAAAACACAAAAAAGAATTAAAAAATAGAATAAAACTTGTATTCAAAAAGAGCAATTAACAATGAATACCAAATGAATATAATTTCATTTATTTTATCTTTAAAGAGATGTTCTACAACAAACAATAATTAAATTAACATTCTATGAATGTGAATAATACAAATACTCTTTTATATCTCATTCTTTGTTTAAACATAAAATAATTCTTCATATTTATATCTTTTGAATAAACAAAATATTAAGTTTTGTATTGTAATAATGATAGAAATTCTATAAAATAACAACTGTTGATTATCTTTCTCATCAATTCAACTTGTCTTAATTATAAAATTAAAATACAATTTTTATTTGAAGATGAGTTTAAAAGAACAAATAAACCATGAACACTCTTATGAATCAACCAGAACAACACATTGTATTCAATTAATTGTTGTGTTGTTCTAAAATTGAATAAGAAAGTATTAAAGACATGTATTTGTTATAACTATCAAAAATAAAAGTACTCTAATTAAACAAGTATCAAATGTGGATAAATTATTACAATGTTTCTCATACAAAAGATGATTTAAAAATAAGATCTTCAAATCACTATTTTCTATTTACTTTTAATCAAAATGACATATAAACATAAACTGGGTATTGAAGATAGTGAATAAATTAATAACACTCTTCATAAACAAGAGTTAAAAGAACTACAAAAGTAGATTTGTTATTTTTTGTAATCTACAACAAATAAACAATTTAAATGTTGTTTGTTCTTCTTATTGAGATTATTGAATTATCAAATGAATTTGATACAAAGTAAAAGACTTCAAGGATGTTCTAATAGTTGTTGAGAATGAAAATAAGTAAATACTTAAAAGTTAAAGTGTAACAAAACAAATACAATTAATAAATATCATTTGTTTACCAGAATGAATCATATGGATCATCATATCCATCATTGTAATCATTCATACCAAATCTTGGATACATGCTTCTTCTTGTTTGTTGTTTTCTTGGTAAATTTACTTGAAGAATTCCTTCATCATAATTGACTGTAATATTCTTAATATCAATATCTTCTGGAATTTCATATAATTGACTAAATGTTCCAAATCTTCCATTACAATATTTCATTGCAATCTTTGCAATATCTTCATCACTTATATTGCCCATTCGTTGTTTGATAGTTCTTATAATCATATTCATTTCATTGTCATTTGGTTTTTTAACTCCACTAACTTTCAAATATCCATTCTTTGTGATATTAACATCAATGTCTTCATCCTTTAATCCTGCTATTGTACCATAAACAATGACATTATTTCCTCTATCACTAACTTGGAATTTAACATTCATTTTCATTTTACTCCAATCAATCATTTCTCTAATTCTTTCTGAATTACTTTTCTTCTCTAGTTCTATTGCTTTTTCTTCTTCTTCCTTATTTTCTTCTTCTTTTTCACTTTGTGTTTTCTTTGGTCTAACATATCGTTGGTTTTGTTGTTTTCCTATTCCACTTTTTCTTTTCATTTCTTCTTCTTTCTTTTTCTTTAATTCCTCAATTGCCTTTTCTTTCTCTTCCTCTGCTTTCTTTTTCTCTTCTTCCTCTTTTCT